ATATGTTAATAATGGAGGAAGCCTCCCTTCAATGCAGGCTGAGTTTGGAGTAACAGGTTAGTTAGATAATCAGAGTTTGGCTCTTGATTTATGTTTTCTACTTTATGTTTCACACAGGGATCATTTGGTGCCACTTAACTGACATGTACCCAAGAACATATATGTCCCTCTCTGACTGAATTTTTGGTAAATACAGGGCAGAAATTACACTTTAATATTATATGTAAATGTAGGGATATTTTCAGCCTTCACTGGATTTAGTTTGCAAGAAGGAGAGAGTACTGCAGCATTAAAGTTTGCTCACATTCCTTTGGAAATAGATGGTGGAGAACTGCTATGAATAAAATGAGGAAGCAGAAATCAGGTTTACTGTGAAGTATAAGCAGGATTTCAGGCATAGTGCAGGATTACTTTTAATGAAGTGAAAAGACAATGACTCTGGTGGAACTCTGATCATAACCTTTGAAATCTCTTTAGGTAAAACTGAGAAGCCTAATGTGTAGGCCAGTACTACACAGAGTATACTTTAAGGACTACATTGTCACTTAATATTCAAGAAAGTGATAATCTATTTGTGATTTATTTCCTCAAAATATCATTGAGCTCCACTTTTCTCCCCTTCACACTTAATAGGTTCTAGTGATATATACATATGACAATTCTTAGGGTTATAAAAACTGAAATGGTGAGAATCTAAATTTCACCACTGTTCTCTTAACTTGTTCTCAAAAATAAAAATGAATTGAATCCAAACCATATGCCATGGCTTATTAATTCTTTATCTGACATTGTTAATGAAAATCTATCATTTAGCTGAAGATATTAGCGATCACAGGTTAAAAGATTGGAGACTTGTAAGACAGAATTTGAAATGTTATTGTGTACTACACACCACAAGATAAGTTTTTGTACAACCCATATATCCCAATTTAGCAGTCATCAGCAAACCCATTGCTTTCTACCAATTACACAAACCGTATACATTTTCCCCTTCATCCTAACCCTCATAGTGATGCAATTATTTGGCAAGAGACTCTTTGTAATTGAAATAATGACCAATATAGACTTCACCCCTATAAATTGCTCAGTGCATCTTCAACATATTTATTGGTAACACACTATTGAAAATGCAAAATTGAACAAGGAAGGCCCCGCTGGGATTCGAACCCAGGATCTCCTGTTTACTAGACAGGCGCTTTGACCAGCTAAGCCACAGGGCCCCTCTAGGATATAGTCTCAGATATATCGTATTTATAATGTTTTGTGAAATGTAGTAATTTGCCAGAAGCTCACTTGTTTTTGTGACAAAGAAAACACATCTGTGTTTCTGAATTTGTAATAAAACAGGAACTACAACATTGAAAAAATACTTTCTTTAGTGCAAGGTTTTAAAACTGATTTCAAATTAAAAATGAATTATTTCTATTTCATGGTGACTACCTCCCCCTAGAGGAAATATTGGATATTACAACATATTTTTAATTTATTTCTCCGTTAATTCATTTTGTCTGCAAATGTTGAGTCACTACTGTGTTTCAGGTACTTTTCTAGCTATTGGAGATAGAACAGTGAACAAAACAGCAGAAATATCTTCCATTACAGAATTTCTATTCTATAGGGAGGTAAAAAAGCAAGTTTTAAAAATTTGCTAAAACAAAAAACCAATCATGCTTTCTTCCATTTTGTCCATCTTGGCACAAGAAAGCAAGCCCAGATGAGGACACACTGACCCAGAGGAGACTCACGGTCCCCTGGCTTCCCACTATTCCAAACCAGGCACAGTGAGACCCTTTCTTTCAAAGATATCATTAATAGCTTTGGCCTCAACAGGACATCTGCTGTTAGAAGCAACCAGTTAGGTATTCACAGAGAGCTCAGCAGGATGTATATTTTTGCTTCTGTCACAGTCTTGTTCTGCTCATTGGCCTGCTGGGTTAAAACAGACTTGATTCCTGTCCTCCTAGACTGCAAAACTGAGTGGGGGATACAGAGACAAGACAAAAGTAGAGGACAATGTGATAACCCTCACAGGGTGCTGGGAACCTCTAACTTGGGCATGGGGGAGTCACATGACCTCTTACCTCAGGCTCCAGGTCAGTTTGACCCATGTAGAAGGGGTTGTAGCATGTTTAGCTAAATACAGCTTCGCATGGGGAAAAGCAGAAGAGACCAACATCCTGAAATGTTTAAAGAACTGCTTTGTGCTTTATGGGGAGGGATGAGGGTGTATGTGTTCACTGAGCACCCACTAAATGAAAGGCCCTGGAGAGATGAGAAATCATTTAGATTGAGGTTGAGTTTTTATTTCTTAACTAAGTGTGGGGTTGCTTCTGATTTAGCTCAATGTGGGCCATGAATTTCTACTTACTAAGCCAGGATTTATAAATTTTTCAGCTTTCTTGGCCGAGGTTCTTTGTGAAGTTTAGTTATTATCTGACTTCTGTTTCTCCCTGGCAGCAAAATGTTTCAAAAGTTTTGCTAAGGCCTAAGGCCCTGGAGGAAAAGCCCTTTGCTTCTCCTTGTGGAAAGCTTCCCAAGCTATGAGCAGACACTTTAACATAAAGCAGGGGTTAGGGTGGTGTGGCTTCAGACAGGTTGCTGTACACTTGAGAGAAATTAACACTCTCCACCTCCTGCCTAGAACACTCCATCTGGGTTTCTGCTGCTATTAGAAGTAAAGTTCTTTACCTGATTTCCGATTCCATGATTCCATGACTGTTGGGGCCATTCTTCCTAGGATCTACCTCTTTCTCCACAACCTCTATGCCTTCCCTCCATTTTATGGCCTATTATAGCAAACATTTTGGCCATCATCAGCCATATAAAAAGCCTAGCTCAAATCTTCAAATAAACCTCAATCTTAAGGACAGACAAAACCCTTCCTGCCATGGTTGGAATTAGCTTATCACCATCAAAAAAGCAGAGGATTGCAGTCAATTTAAAAAGATGTTGAGGCTGGTACCAGTGTTTGCAGTATCACCACTGCATGAAAGCCTTCTGTCACCTAAGTAGCAATGCTATTTATTTATTTAACAATAACAACAGCTTAATTTTAGTTTGTACCTCACTGAGTTAGTGTCATCATGCATTTAGAACAATTGTAGAAGGTGGTAATGCTCATTAACTTCCATTGAGAAATGAGGATGACAAGACAAAGAAATGTTAAAAATCCAGTTCAAGACCATGAGTGCCATAGACAGAGTTAGGAAATTTTCTTTCTGCAAATGCGGTTAGCAGTTGTGTAAGATGTTCCCACTTCTTCATAAAAGAACACCTGGAAAATCCAAACTTTTTATCTCATAATGCCCCTGTTTAGTTTGTACAAGATTTCTAGTGATACTTACTCAAAGCTATAAAACAGTATTGTGAATCAGAGAACCTGACATATTTAATACAAACACGTACTTTGTACCAAGTACTATATGGTGCTTACCAAGTAAGCTCTCTACTTTTTGAGCAAACCACATAGGATGAGTCTTATTTATCCCTATTACTCTCCTGGCACTATAAGTTGATTCTGATCCAGATCTAGGATCCTAGCTTTCTCCCTGAGAGGTAGCCTCAGAGCCAAATTACATGGATTTCTTCTACTCAGGCCAGTAACAAAGGGAGAAAATGTATTCTAGAGAATTGCAAGATCAAGGTGTTTGTCTTTGCCCTAATTCTGAATTTTATCATTCATTTGTGGCAGAAGAATAGACAAGAGCTGGTCCTTTGGGGTCAATACATACTTGGTCCCTGTCCTCACTCATGTAAAACTGGGTAGAGATAAGATACCCAAAAGAGAAAATTGAGGTAGACTATGGTACAAGTGAACATGGATAATTGCTGTGAATGCTGTTAGATTGCTAGCAAGAAGCCTTGAACCCGGGCTGCTGGAAGGAAGACATCTTAAAGTAAAAGACATTTCAGCTCAGTTATAATATCTTTGAAGCTTTGTTAGTATGAATTTCAGGTGGATAGTTGGAGAAGAAATGGGGTCTATTTTAGCCCCATAGAAGGAAATAAAAAGAAGATACTCTTATGCTGAAACTTTTAACAAACTTCTAATAAGCTGCTAAAAATATGCATAAGGAGACAGAAAGTATTTTTTGAGCACTAACAATCCAGGAGAGCCAGGAGAGATGAAGTTCCATTTGTGTGTTCTCAGAGTGCTGTGCTACTCATAAGAACTGAGCTCATGGAATCTCCTCTGGGGATCTACTTGTCTCCAGTCACCTGGCATGGGTTCCCTAGGTAGCATGAAGTACTTTTTCTTCCCTGCCAAATCCTCATCTCAGATCAACTCTTCTCCACTTCTACCTCACCCCGTCTACTTGTCCTGTCCTAACTCACTCTGGAAACTGGGTGTTCTAGAGACAGGGGCTATTCTTTTGGTCCATGGTTTTTTTTCCCCCTCAAATTCTTACAGTGTTCTCCAGATTATCAAAGTTTACAGTTTCTCAGCATTGGCCCAGACAGGATATTTAGAAATTTGGATTTAAACTGAGGCCACAACACAGAGTACTAACTGCTATACAATTACTGCATGGCACCAAAGGCCACCAGCTGCAGGCTTCTTCCTTCAGCCATTTCTCACGAATATCTATTTTTTTTTTTTTATCATCTACCTTGCACTTTGCCTTTGTTAGGGCGGCCTTGAATCTCCTAATTTTCTAATAACAGCTAAAAATCAATCTTGAGCTCTCCTACTCTCTTTGCTGATTCTCTCCCAAAGTAGCAGGCAACCTACTCGGAAAGACGATGACGTCTGCTTCCCAATCTTTCTAATTTTTAATTTTTTCCCTTTCTCATACCTTGCCCTTCCTTTTCTTACACGTATATAATAAAATGGGTGGAATGTTAGGCTTAAAGAATTCACCCTCCCCAAACTTCCATCCAAACCTCCTATAAAACCCACCCCTCTCCCCTTCCTAGGGGTTTATTAGCATTTGCCAGACCCTTAGGGAGATAAAGAAATGAAATGCAAAAGGGGAACTTACTTTCCTTATCCCTCCTGACAAGGATGATGTTTACAGATGCTTATCACTCCCGTTGTTCCCTAGGGAGATAAGGAGATAAAAGGAATGGAGTATAAGAGGGGAATTTACTTTCCTTATCCCTCCCAGTTGTTTGAAAAGAATTTATTTACTCCCCCCAGAAAAACCGTTTATAAAACCCAAGGCTCTCCCCTTTTCTCTCACGGATGCCTTTTCCGAACTCCACTCATCTGCACCCACATGCTCAAAATAAACAGCATTTTGTTACACATGAGGCTTCGTGTCTCTCCTCTCTCTCTCTCTCTCTCTCTCTCTCTCTGCTCCATACCTAACAGTCTTCTGTCCTTATTTAGAATTACCTACTCAGTTTATGCCTTTAACCATGCCCCACCCCCGATATGTTGCTTATGGCAAACCAAAGAAAATGAAAATTAAGTTTCACTATCTGGAATTTTCCAAATTTGGTGGCTCCTCTCTAGGGTTGGTAATACTGTACTTGCAAACTTCCTACTCTCACTTCCACCTCCAACCCATGCACGTCTCTTGCTCAGTTTTAAAAGTGTGGTTCTCAGACCTTTGGCAACAAAAGGGAGAGGACACTGCTTTGAAGGGGACCTGCTTGGGTGGCATTTTTAGCCAACCTGGTCAGAATCTCTGGGTGCTTAACATGGCATCTAGCATCTCAACAGGTGCCAAGAGTGAGTCTCTGGTCCCAGGAAACTACGTGGCCTCACCCTGACTGACATATCTGTGAGAAGCCAGTAAGGCGTGCCCCAGACTCGGCTTGGAACCTGTGGCCACAAGGCCACATGTGGCCCCTCAACTGAACCCAAACTTCACAGAACAAATCCCTTTATTAAAAGGACTTGTTCTGTAAAATGTAGATTCAGTCCAAAGGTGCACTTGAGGATCCAGAAGGCAACGTGTGGCCTCAAGGCTGCAGGTTCCCCACCCCTGCAGCTGTCAGAAAATGCTGTGTCTTGGGGCGCTCAGACCTCATAGGGAAACTTCTTTCTTCCTGTCCACCTGGGTTCCCAGAAGGGGGACATAACAACGTGCTTCTTGTGTGGCTCCAAAGCTCTGTAGGACTTCTCTTCCTCCCTGGCTTGATGTTCTACAAACATGCCTTCTACAGTCAAGGTCCTGGATGTGCTTTCCCCTTGATACAGAATGATTTCCTTTCTTCTCTGTACCTGGTTAAATTTGATTCATGCTTCAGCTGCCGTTAATCAGGGAAGCGTTTCCTGACCTCCCTCCCCTCTCCACGCAACATATTCCTCCCAGTCTGGGTCAAATTTCTTTATTCTCTCTATTCCTTGATTCTTTTTTACTTTTCCTTCAGAGCCCCTATATTGGTTTATGATGATGTACAAGTTACTAGAGTTATTTCATTAATGTCAGTCTCTCTCCTCCTTCTACCATATACTCCAAGAGGAGGTATCTATTTTGTTCAATAGTCTATCATGAGGGCTCCCCATTTAGTAGGTTCTTTATCAATATTGTTTGATTGCAGAATGAATGAATGGGCAGAGATTATAATCCAATGCTCTATGAAACCAACTTCTCCCAACGGCATCTGGCCTGGCAGCATAGGCATGGCTTTACTATGAGTGGAGGGTGATGCTCACGTTCTGATGTTTGGTGGGAAAGAATTGATAGTAGTTTAAAGAAAGGAGCTCAAAATTATCCCAGCAACTGTCCCCAATAAAGCTTCTCAGCAGAGCCAAAACAATGTGTTTAATTTTCTGAGCTTTTCTTTATCTCCTTTCCTCTAGATTATACAAAACCATCCAAATTATTGGCAGGTTTGGTGAATGAAGAGTTATCTGCTTCCCAACATTAATTCTTTTTATCAGGGAAGAGACCTGCGGGCTTTCTCAATCTCAAGGACATGAGCTCAAAGACAGGAAATGCAACCAGTAAGCAGGCTGCCCCCTTTCTGTCTCAGGTCTCTTTAAATTGGATCTCTCCTTCCTTTCCTTTCCTGAGGAACTTCCCCCATTCCATTTAGAAAGCTGCTGTGGATGGAAGTGCTTTTCAGCATTTTCTGCTGGGATGTTTTTGGCATTAGGGATGATCTGAATGTGATTCTCTATAAGGAGAGAGAAAAGCTGTGTCTTTGGTGTCGCAGGCAGGGTGGTTCTTGCCATCCCAGCATTTTGGGAGGCCAAGGTGGGAGGATTGCTTGAGGCCAGGAGTTCAAGATCAGCCTAGGCAGTACAGCGAGACCCCCCCCCCCCAATCTCCACCGACTCTACAAAAAAAAAAAAAAAAAAAAAACAATTAGCAGGGCATGGTGGTGCATGCCAGTAATCCTAGCTATGCGGGAGGATTACTTGAGCCCAGGACTTTGAAGGTTACAGTGAGCTATGATCCAGCCACTGCATTCCAGCCTAGGTGACAAATCAAGACTTTGTCTCTAAAAAAAATAAAGCCTCTTTTCTTGTGCGTACTTTTGAAGGCCATTCTGGGGATTTTATCTGACACATAAACTACAGTGATTCCCAGAAAGATAAGAGACCTACTAGCTCTACATTTACCAATGTCATGCACTCTTCTGTTACCAGGCTAAATCAGAAGAACAAGGACAAGTGGTTTGGGGAGGAGGAAAGATAAGTTTTATTACCTTGCCAGCAAAGGAGGAAAAATGGTAGACCTTCTCATCTCAAAATCTAAATTTCCTAAACATTCGCGCAAATACAGAGCTTTTAAAGGCTGGGTTCTCAGCTTCTGGCAATTATTGTTCAACTACTGCTGATGATTCTGATCATCTCATCTCTGCTGAAGACAATCTCCTGACCTCTGCCCAGGACCTCCCTTTACCAGGTCAGGGTGGGTCATCTTCTGTTGCACAAATAAGCAAAAGACTTAACCTGTCCCTCCCAACCCCTGGCCTGAGGCAGGGATATAGGCTTTAGTTCTCAAAAAGGAGTGAAGAATGTTTTAAAGAGAAAGAAAATATTTTTGCCATTTTTTTCCAGGCCATTCCCTCTGTTACATATTCCCCACTCTCAATATTTCCCTTCCATATCTATGGGAGGAGGGGTGACTACTCTGTTACACTTCCACTTCTGAATTTCTAAATTTTCTATAAGAAATAAATTAAAAACTCTCTCTTCTACTCAGGGGCATAATTCCAGCAATATTTTTCTCTTTCTCCTGTATAATAAAAAATACTATTTGATCTCTATAGGGTCTTTCTTATCAGCATTCAAAGCTGATTTTATTTCTTCCATCTGAATGAAATGTTCTCTTGCTTTCATTTTTTTCCTTCAGCTACTGATAGTTCTGCCCTTCATTTTATGGCTATATTTCCCAAAACTGTTATCAAACTCCTATTTCTTTCATCTCATTCCTTTATTTAATCTCCTTCAACCTGCCTTCTCCAACACTCCACTTAAACTGATCTTTTAAATTTCACTAGTTGAAATGGCTATATCTAATACTTGTTAAGTCCTCATCTTACATGACTTCTCAGCAGCATTTGACACAGTTGATCTCTCCCTCCTCTTGAAAACTGTTATGGTCTAAATGTGTTCCCCCAAATCCATATGTTGATACTTAATTGCCATTGTGATAGTATTAAAAAGTATTATTAATAAAACACTTGCCAAAATATAGAGCCATATCCCCCATATCTAGAATGCATATATATGTGAATCAAAGAGTAGAGGTAGGAATAACTCTTCTCATTATTACTCAGTAATCCATTTGGAGAATTTTGTATCTTATCCCTTTGACCTTAAGCTCCGAGAGATTGAGGGTCCTCGTGTCCATTGCATAAATGTTTCCACTAGGAAGCATTGTCACCTTTTAAATCAATTGGAATTTGAGAACTGCTTCTGGTCATTTTAGTCCTTTCATGCCATTGAACCAATAGGCAGAGAAAAGTGTCCTTCTCGCTGGAATGATTGGTCCCAGTATCCAGGAGGTAATTGAGTGTCTGCTGTCCAGTAGAAGTAAAGATACTACTAACCCAGGGAAGCCTCTAAATGTTCTTTGCCCACAAGCCCTGGTCAATTAAAAGTTGTAGCAAAACCATCAAGAAAAGACCACAAGGACAGATTCCACAGGAATAAAGGCATACTTTATATCGCCATGTAAAGAATCCTGACAGAGATCAGGGTAACAAGGAATGAATTTTAGAAGAAGGAAGCTGTGATTACTCTTTTTCTTTTTGAGACAGGGTCTCACTCTGTCACCCAGGTTGGAATGCGAATGCAACTGCAGTTGTGTGATCATAGCTAACTGCAACCTTGAACTCCTGGGCTCAAACTATCCTCCCACCCCGGCCTCTCCGGCCTCTCCAAGTGCTGGGATTATAGGCGTGAGCCACCATGCCCAGTTTGTGATTACTAACTTAAACCCTCATGATAATCTACAGAAGCAGAATTCATAGCAGTTTTGTTCCTATAATGTTAACTAATTATACCTTACTTTGTATCTGAGTACCTTCTAAGACGGTGATGACTAACATTTTAGGTTTTTTGTTTTTTTTTTTGAGACAGAGTCTCACTGTGCTGTCCGGGCTGGAGCGCTGGGCATCATCCTAGCTCACAGCAACCTCAAACTCCTGGGCTCAAGCAATCCTTCTGCCTCTGCCTCCCGAGTAGCTGGGACTACAGGCATGTGCCACCATGCCCGGCTAATTTTTTTTCTATATATTTTTAGTTGTCCGATTAATTTCTTTCTATTTTTAGTAGAGACGGAGGTCTCACTCTTGCTCAGGGTGGTTTCGAACTCCTGAGCACAAACAATCCGCCCGCCTCAGCCTCCCAGAGAGGTAGGATTACAGGTGTGAGCCACTGTGCCTGGCCAACATTTTAGGTTTAACGTAGGATTATGAACAAACTGACATAACCCTATGAGCTGGTTGTGATTTCACACGTGCTGTGCTGGAATATAGATTTTTGACTTGAGCAAAGGGTAAGAGTAATGTCAAAGGACAAAAGGAATGGATGGTGTCAGATATTTACTTTTGTGGGTCTAGATTTTCTCTCCCCTTGCTCCATCCCATGTCCTCAGGAAGCTGATCTATATATGAATTTAGTCCTTGCCTTTTGGCTTCAGGTTGGATTTGGCCGATGGCCAATTTTCCTACAAATTGAGAATCAGACTGGATAAAGTAATAACACCATACTTTCTTTTCTAAATTAGAATCCACCTCAGAGAGTTGTGAGAATTGAACACATTCATGTTACATAGTAGTCCACAAGTGGTGGTACAAAATATCTCTTCTACGTTTCCTCTAAAGGTTCACTCTGTTCCTTTGGGCCTCACATATTCATTTTGAAGCTTCCACATTATGGGGCAAAGCTGGATTATTTCCCAGTATGGAAAAAGTGAAGAGATTTGCTGGATCTAGCAGGAAAACTCTGGCATATACCTTATAATTGTTTTATATTACCTTCCATTTGCAATGACTGAGGAAAAAACTCTTACTCGAGTATATCAAATTAATAAAGATTTTGTAGATAGTCCAAGTTTTCTCATTTCTCTAAAAGAAAATGCATCCCCCTTGAATTCCATGATGAAAATAAAATAACACCAGCTATGTATTCTAAAGTCAGTCTCACAGACATTATCATAGACATTATTCAACGTTGGTATTTACAATTACCTTACAGTAAGTCATAGACACGGAAATGCATTACCCAGGTCCTCCTTCAAGGAGGGACTTGCTGTCAAACTGCAGAGAGCAGAGTTAGCAGACAGGCACCAGCGGTCAGCTCCTGCAGTGTTTGCCTCAGTTGCAGAGCTCCACCGGATGTAAGGCCACACCCTTCCCCAGGGCAGTCCTCTTCCAGTAGTGCAATGTGGGGATAAGAAGGGCGGTCCAGAGTCCTGTTGGCCCAAAGTGGGGCAACTCTGCCTGTCAGTATTGGCTCCAGAGCTTCTCCACCGAGTTGGTTGAGCATTTATCTGGTTTGTACTACCAGCTGGACATTGTCCTCTGCCCAATCCTAGTTCTTTTGCCTCCTTTTACAGATGTTGATCCCTAATAAACACCTTGCACCCCAAGATGCAATCAGCTTCTGAGCATCTGCATACCAAGAACCCAACATGTGTCACCATACCATAATTTCTCTTTCTGGGTCTCTTGCATTTTATCATTTTTCTATACAATGTTTCTTCAGGCAAAGATGGGGGTAGCAAATCTGTATTGAATTATAAACTGTCCTGTTAAATCTTCTAAGTTTGTGAACCATATAGTTATAATATTTTTATGGTGTCTTTTTTTAAAAAGTGGCTTAGATTCCACAGCTTTTTCTACCTAGCTACTTTGTGTTATCAAGCTTATCTCAGATCAGGATTGCTATCGCTTTTGATTACTTGTCCACATCAATTTATATATCCTACAAAGCCCTATATTATGGGTTTTCTCCTCCCCTCTCCCCCCACATAATATTACTTGCTTTTACTTAGCCTCATAGGTCTTCTGGTTATTCTCACAAAATGCCAAACATTTTGTCTTAAGGCTTTTGCACTTTCAGTTGCCTCTTTTCATGAGAGCTGTCTCATTTTCTAAATTCAATTTAAGTGGCTCTCTGATCAAGTAACACTTTCAAAGAGGTTATTTTTGCTAATCCCTATCTAAAATAGTCCCCATTACGCATTACAGTTTACCTCCTTAGGATTTTTTCTCATAGGATATATATTACTTGACATATTACACGATTACATGCTTGTCTTTCCAATCTAGAAGTAATTTACATGGTGGTAAATTTTCTAGGTGACATTCACTGTTGTATCCTAAGCTACTGGAAGAATGCAGTAAGTGAATACATGTGTTTCAAATAAATAGGGCCAAGAATTTAATGAGACCCAGTAAGTTCTGCATAATTCTAACCAACAAATCAAAGTCTCGTAACTGCTGTTAGAACCAAATCTTAAAGAACGGAAAAATTGTTACTAAGAGTATTTTAAGAATTCCATCACCTGGTGAAAAATCACTGAGCTGGTTAAGAGTCAAAGTTATTTTTCAGCATTCTATTCCAGTATAGTACTCAAAAGCGCTAAACTTGCTTTTGAAGGATCACCAGTATATTGCACTCATGGCTACTAATATTGTTAGGGCAAGAATTAAGAAAACAGGTTTCACGGATTTCGTGTTTAACTTCACCTGTTAGTCCTGCTAAGTAAGCCTCCCGAACATACTAACCCCGTCAGCCTCTATTGCCTTCCAGTAGGCGAATTTACATACACTTGTGAGTTGCTTCACTTTCCTTAGCCTTGAGGAGCATTTTACAATATGACAGTCAAAATCGCCTACAACAGATGGTGTGTCCAGCTTTTTCTAAGATAGTTTAAGTGGCTCTGAAAAGAGCCTTTGTTTTATCAGCGTTCCTAACCTCGCTCCTTACTTGGCTTTGTGGTGACTCTCAGTCTTCTTGGGCAGCAGCACGGCCTGGATGTTAGGCAGGACACCACCTTGCGCGATAGTGACTTTGCCCAGCAGCTTGTTAAGCTCCTCATCATTGCGGATGGCCAGCTGTAAGTGGCGAGGAATAATGCGGGTCTTCTTGTTGTCGCGAGCCGCGTTGCCCGCAAGCTCCAGGATCTCGGCGGTCAGATACTCCAGCACCGCCGCCAGGTACACCGGGGCGCCAGCTCCGACCCGCTCGGCATAGTTGCCTTTGCGGAGCAGGCGGTGCACTCGGCCCACAGGGAACTGGAGACCCGCTCGAGAAGAACGGGTCTTAGCCTTGGCGCGAGCTTTGCCGCCCTGTTTGCCACGTCCGGACATAGTGACTTCGATAAACTCCTGGTGGCAAGTAAAGTGAAAGTGTAAGGGCGGCACTTTTTATAACCAATATTGGGCGCGAAAAAGAAGACGTGTCATAGGTTAAGAGTGCAGCTTAATTTCAACCAATGGAGATGCGACTTCGAGATTTGCAGCTCCTGATTAGGCAAAACTAACCTCTGGCGTTGCCATACATAACAACCAATCAGACACGGGACTTTAACTCTACACCTTATTTGCATAAGACGTTCTACATAAAAAAGACACGTCTCGCTTTGGTTTCGTTATTTTTGTTTCTCTCGCCGTTTTCCTGTTTTCCTTCACCATGCCTGAGCCCGCTAAGTCAGCTCCTGCTCCTAAGAAGGGTTCTAAGAAGGCTGTGACTAAGGCTCAAAAGAAGGACGGGAAGAAGCGCAAGCGCAGCCGCAAGGAGAGCTACTCCGTGTACGTGTACAAGGTGCTGAAGCAGGTTCACCCCGACACTGGCATCTCCTCCAAGGCCATGGGCATCATGAACTCGTTCGTCAACGACATCTTCGAGCGCATCGCGGGTGAGGCTTCTCGCTTGGCGCATTATAACAAGCGCTCCACCATCACTTCTAGAGAGATCCAGACAGCCGTGCGCCTACTGCTTCCTGGAGAGCTGGCCAAGCACGCTGTTTCCGAGGGTACTAAGGCCGTCACAAAGTACACCAGCGCCAAGTAAACTTCCCAAGTAAGAGTCTTCAAGTTCGATCCCAAAGGCTCTTTTAAGAGCCACTTACGTTATCAGTAGTTAGAGCTGCAAATACTTCATCTGAAGTCTGAATTTAAGTTTGGGTTGTAGCCTATAGTGATTATGGTGGCTTCTAATGAGTATAATGCTTGTTACAGTCCGACTAAAAGGAAGCCAGATAACGAAGTGTCTTCTGTGTACGTCCCTTAGACAACGCTTCCTGATTCTTGGCGCTAAAGTAGATCCTTGCGGTGTGGCTTCCTGTTTAAATCCTACCCGCCTATTGTGTCGCGTGTTCTTTTCTACACCACTAGACAGATAAGTAAACGTGGGCTACGGTGATCTGAAGCCCACATTTAGCTCGGCACTTACCTTAGGCTCTCCAAGGCTGTACGTTGTGAAAATTCTAAAATTGGGGGAAGACAGTCACCCGGTTTGCGTTTTTTTCTTTTCCGACCTCTCCAGCTCACTTGGGGTGGAGAAGATGTCAGACCACTAGGCAGAATAAAGTCTCTTAAGAGGGAGATGAGAAGCATAGCTTTACTCCTGAGTAAAGAAATACAACATGAAGGGTCACGGAAAAGATTTTATGTGACCTACATATTAGTTTTTAAGACCATTTTCAATCTTTGCTGATTCAATCAGTAATTTCTTCACTTGGTACATACAAGAAAACTTACAGGACTTGAGAGGAAAAAACTTGAGTTCAGTGCAGACAACAGACTGAGAACAGGGTTAGACCACCCGGAAGGACGGAGAAGGGGAGAGGAAACTGCCCTGGGCCGGTCTCAGAGTCTGAGCCCTGTCAGGTTGGGGAGTTTTGTTGTGTGACTGGAGGCTAGAATGGCTATTTATCCTACTAATAAGTAACATGAGATTTTTTTTTTCTAAGAATAATGGAGGCTGAAAGGAAGGGTCGACAAAATTTAGGTTGTGGACTGGCTAAATTAGTCATTTAGAAATGTAGGCCAATTGGCCTGCAAGAAAATTATTTCTTCTGATTAAAAACATAAACGTTTTTATGTATATAAATGCATATGTATACATACATAGTTTTTTGGTCACGGACTGTTAGTCTTTAGGGATACAGTAGGTGAACATATGTAATGAATTGCCTGCTCTTCTTGGAAGTGTATTTGGAGACTGCAGGGGTCTAACTGGAACAATTCACATATGTAAAGCATATGTTTAGTGTTCTGAATCTTATCCTACTGGTGGTTTATGGATTACATTGGTGTTATAAGAAGTATATCAACAGTGATTGTTAATGTTTTATCAATGTGTGGGGACTGATCAATACACAGTGATGTGTGAACTCCTTTAGTCTTCACAGATAACTGTGAGGTAGGTATTATTATACACATTTTTAAATGTGAAAAGTAAAGTACAAAGAACTATTTTAATACTTAATTTTCGAAGAGAAGAGAGCAAGGGAGAGGGAATAAGTCTGATGTAAAGGGAGGGGATAGTGTAATTTGAGCTTTTTGTAGTAGTTTCCCAAGCAGGACCTCCTTCACTTCCCTATCTGCTCCTGACTTCATTTTCATAACAAAATATTCATAGCAAAAATAAGCATAATTCCCAGGCTGGTCTCACATAGCTGACAGGAGTAAATTATACCAGTATAGTGCCTCTGCTTATTTAGATTTCTTTGAAAAAAAAAAAAAAGCTTAAGAAAAATAATATACATTATTTATTATTAGTATGTTTTCTCCAGTAAGTATTCTAGGCTCCAGCTACACAGGACTTTTGGTAGTTTATCGAGAATACACCACACGGATGATGAATACCACCTTCTGGTATACCTGACTACTCTTTTTAGATTTTTACCCTGGAGTTATTCATTATATGTTACTGAAGGACATTAGAAATATTTTTACTCCAAAATATGGCATTTTGACATTTTGGACTGACTGAAGCCTCAAGATCTCTCAGACCTTCCCCCCTCCCCTCCCCCCCATCACCTACTTTTCCCAGGTGGTTGAAGTTTCTTTATCTGTTTTGAGATCCAGACCCACCAAGGAGAACGCTTGTTTTTTCTTCCCCTCCCTGTAATCTCATTAAGTATGGCAGAAAAGAAGAATGTAACCACACCCGAACAGGCTCTTTTAGAAGATAATGTCTATCTCTCAGATTCATTCAAATTTCAAAGAGAACTATCTACCAGTTAATCTCTGCTCCCCATCCATTTATCCGTCCTAGTGGTCCTTTATTGCCTCTCAACGGAATTCCTCTTTTCCCCCTCCTGTAACCCATTTTACCAGAAAGTGCCTAAGTTTCTGAACCCCATTGGGGGGTTGAATCCTCATTTTCTGAGGCTCCCAGTGATACTTTAGAATAAACAAGCTTTTCTCTTACTAATCTGCTTTATTGTGAGTTGATTTTTCAGCGATCCTTCTGAGGGCGAAGGAGAAGTTTTGCCTTACAACTATTTCAGAAAAGCCTTACTGTCCAGTTTACACCAAATCATGAGATAAGCAGCCTAAATTGTTTTGCAGATTGATCCTGTAGCTCTCTGGGGGAAGTTGGGGGTGGAGAAGGGAAGGATAACTCCTATATGAAAAGGCAGCATTCAAAAACTATAAAAATATAAGTCTAACATTAAAATTATTTTTTATACATCCAAAGATACCACATTTAAATACAAATCCACAAGGTGACAATATATTTGCCACATGCTGACAAAAGGTTATTAAAAGTAAAAATATATAAAAAATACCATAAAAATCATAGAAAATAAGAAAAATGGCCAAAGAATCTCAACAGAACATTCCCAGAAGAGGGGGAAATCTTCAAATAGCCAAAAATCCCGTTAAAAATATGCATTTTTGTTATAATTAGAGAAATGCAACTTAATGAGATACCATTTAACAAATCTTTATACTGTCAAAAATTTTTACTGACATTACAGATGCTGATGAAGATATGGAATAACAAGAACTCTCAAGCACTAATGGCGGAGTGTGGTAGTGTAAACTAAAAAATACTACCCTAGAAAGCAAATTGTTCACCTCTATTCATGTTGAATATGCACATATTACTAAGCATTTGGTTATCAAGCAATTCCACTCCTAATTATGTAACTATAGAGTGTACAGCTGTGTACAGCAATGCCCATTGTAGCCCTGTAACGCGGGAAAAATAAAACAATTTAAATATCCACCAATAGAGAAATGAATGTATAAATTTTGTACTGACACATTAGAAAACTTGATTAATGACAGAAATTAGAACTGCATATTCCAACATGGCTATATTTCCAAAGCAAATGTGGAAAGTTCTTAAAATGTGTAAAGTGATACATATATTGATTAGGGGTATGTGCATCTAAAGTTAAAAAGTAAAAAGCATGGGAGCAATAAACACCAAATTCAGAATACTAGTTAATTCTCAGTAGGGAAAAAGGAAGCTTATGCTACTGAGAATGGACATACGAAGAAATTTTCCTGTATTGATTGAATAATGAGTTTGGTGTTCGCCCAGTCTTTTGTAGAAATACCTAGTATATTTTCAGCACTTAAAAATAGTACCAGAAGGCAAACATAAGAAAGGAGGTAAATATATTATCAACCAGGGGTGGGGAACCTGCAGCCTTCTGATTTCACGATTGTCCTTTTTTAAGCACCAAAGGAGACAAGAAAAGCTTCATCTTTCTCTTCTGCATCCATTTTAATGAAAGGATTTGTTCTGTAAAAATTGGATTCAATCAAAAGGCCACACTCAAGGATCCAGAAGGCCACAATATGGCCCCAAGGCCGTAGGTAACCCCCAACTGTGTTCCACTGTAGTTAAGGTAGGAAGAAGATACATTTTCTCCAAGACTCCCCAGTAGAGATCTCGGGGACAATTTCTACTTAAAACCAGCGACTACAGCTACCCTCGAGGCTCCTCCTCTTTGTGGAATTTAAGGTATTCCTTCCCCAGACCTCTCAGGCTGTGAGACATTATGTAAATCAAAGGATCTGGGTAAGGTTAGTGTCCAGCAAAGCCCTGTTTAGATCCCTGGCCTTTACTCGCTAATCAACCCTACCGTAATTTCAACCTGCCGCCATAAGCGACTGGCTAGCAGAGACTTCGTCCCAGCCTCGGAAAATCTCGGTCCACGGTCGCCTGCCAGTTTTCAATATTCCCGGTTAACTTAGTAAGCAGCATGGAGAAATCCAATGACAATGGTTCTATTAACACCCAACCTGCAGTCATTCCAACTCTTTTGCTGAAAGATTGGGGGCCCTAAAAAGGGCCTTTTAGGAAACATAGCTCCAAAATGCTATTTAGCCACCGAAACCATACAGGGTACGGCCCTGTCGTTTAAGCGCGTAGACCACGTCCATGGCCGTGACAGTCTTACGCTTTGCGTGCTCCGTGTAAGTGACAGCATCCCGGATCACATTCTCCAGGAACACCTTGAGCACCCCACGGGTTTCCTCATAAATGAGGCCAGAGATGCGCTTGACTCCGCCGCGGCGGGCCAGGCGCCGGATGGCCGGCTTTGTGATGCCCTGGATGTTGTCACGCAGAACCTTGCGGTGGCGCTTAGCACCTCCTTTCCCCAATCCTTTACCTCCCTTACCACGTCCTGACATTGTCAGACAGCCAGAGGACAAAAACCGTGACAAATTTTGGCAACTTCCTTTTATAGGTAACTTCTGCGGACCTGACTGAAAACCTAAGAACTGTGGCGGGAAGGTCCTCTGGATTGGGGGAGGGGACCTAAAAGGGAAATAAGTCTGCCGTGCTATGCTCGTTTTTGTTCTCTTTCAGTTCTTTTTGATTCTCAAGACGTAGGCTATTTTTTCTCTTTTTTTCATTTAATGTGATTCCTACCTATCCTCATTAAACAGCAAAATTTTAATTTTTAATTATAGAAGATACAGAAAAGGCAAAGGAATAAAATATAGTTTGAATATTTACGTGTATATATGTATTTGCTTTGTCTAACACTACCTGCATAAGATTATGCTATTTTGTGACATTTTTCTCCTTAACATATGATGGCAATATGCTCAATATGCTAAATTCCTAGAAACAGAACAAGATGGACTAATACAGAATTTTAAGATCTTTCAGGTATATTGTTAAATCTTCTTCCACCAAAGGTTATACCTATTAATATTTTCATTTCCAATGTTGGAGTATAGAATGATTCCCCAAAATATGGCTTTTGGGCATGCTGAATGCTTTTCGAATTTAAAGGGCCTCAAGAAATAGGCTTCAGATTAAAGTTCCCTCTAACCCTGTCTTGTTTCTTTTCCCCAAGCACACACAGGGAGGGACTTCCTCTGGAATTTCCTGATCTGACCAAGAAAGCTTCTTACCAAAAAAACCACAGTTGCCTTCTATCCCCTCTCGGTTTACCTCAAGGTCTACGGTGGAAAAGAGGAGAGAACAATGCCACCCCACCTGGATGGACTTTTGCACTAGATAATGCCTGCCTGTCTGCCTCTTGGGTTTATTCAAATTCCAAAGAGAATTATTTGTAAGTTAATTTGTGTCTCCCTGGCCCATTCATTGTCTCTAATAATCATTTACTGCCTCTCAAAAGAATTGTCTATATTAACTGTCTCCTCCTTTCCCTATGAAAAAGGGTATATGAGCTTCTGTACCTCATTGAGGGGTTGGGTAATCAGTGATGCCTGTCCCCATACCTTAATAAATTTGTATGCCTTTCTCCTATTTATCTGCTTTTGGCAGTTGATTGGGGAGTGAACATTCTGAGGGCTAAAATGAAGTTTTCCTTTGACCTCTACACCACTAGCAGTTCCTGTTATGCCTACAATGTAATACTGGGTAGAAACATTCTGCATAATTTTACTCTGTAATAATATAGATTTGATTTCTTATATAGAGAATTTTTTAAAAAGTTAACTAGCTGGTTAATCAATACAATATACTGCATTAAATATTTCCCCCACTGATTTGAGGAACTTAATTTATTATATATTTAATATTGTTTAGTTTCTGTTGTTCCACCAGTCTATATTGTGAACTAAAATAAAATTTTAAGGCTCACCCCCTCCACTGGCTGACTAAACGGACCCCCTCGTGGCCAAAGGAATACCCTAAAACTAAATTGCCTGCCAGGAGGAAGGAGGTCAGACATGCCTTATCATGCTCCCCTCCCTTCTTGGTGACATCCTTTATAACCCATTAACAGGCCTAAGGGTATACAAGACAAACCTGCAGGTCCTCAATTTATACAACAAATCTATGTCCAGTGGCTTATCTCTGATAAAGAGCTCCTTATGTTAAAACATGCCAAGCCTCTAGACAAAGCTTCATGTCTTTAACCAATTACAGGCCAAAGAATCTTTTAACCCACCTATAACCTGTAAGCCCCTGCTTCGAGATGGCCCACCTTTTCGGGCCAAACCAATGTATGCCTCCCACATATTGATTTATGACTTCACCTGTAACCCCTGTCTCCCTAAAATGTATAAAACCAAACTGTAACCCAACCTCAGTGAGTCCACTTGCTCAAGGCCTCTTGGGCGTGGCTCCAGGTCATGGTCCTCAGATTTGGCTCAGAGTAAATCTCTTTAAAATTACTTTACAGAGTTTGGTCTTTTTTTTCCGTTGACAATATATATTGCTGAAGTATTATAATTATTTGTGATGGGGCTCAGAAAACAGTACCCCAAAATGAAGGCCTCAGAGGCAAACCTTTTTCTCTGTCCTCCATGCCTCTCAGTCCTGTTCTTCCCTGAGATGAGCCATAGAAACTAAAACTCCTCTTCTTCAAGGCAGGTCATAAAAGCCAGAACCCCTTTTCCCCAAAAGCCAATCATATAACCTAAAATTATTCTATGTGAAAGCTGGCCATAAAGAAATTATCTGACCAACCTTGTTTGTCTGTAGATATTAAGACCCCCGTTCCAGAGAGGGCCTTGCCCCATACCCAGAGGGAAGAAATGTGTTTCTGCCCAACGAGGTTCATTTGCATGCTGCACAGAGAAGAGCCAATGTACTGAGACAGTTGAGGTTGTAATAGAGAGTTTAAAAATTCCGCATAGCACTAAGCAGGGAGACGAGAAAAATTTCTCGAATCCACCTCCTGGAGAATTTGGGAGACGGTTTTTAAGGATAGTTTGGCAAGCAAGGGATTAGGCAATTAGGTTTGTTAATTGGGGCAAAATTATAGGGGTATAGAAATCATCTTCTTGTGTTGCTCCAGTCCCTGGGGTCACAATTCCAGTTGAGTAGGTTTCTTGGTATGGGCCCCTGGTCTGGATGGGTCAACCAATCCTCTGGAATGGGGGCCCTGGAAGATATCTTAAAAACTCCCTTTAGGTTTCAAAAAGGTGATGTTATCTACGGAGAAAGTTAAGAATCTTTATGGACACCAGCTATGGGGAGACGCTAAGAATCTTTATACGGATCCTTATGACCACCAGCTGCATAGCTCTGGAGTGGCAATTATAGAGAAGCAAAGAGGGGAGTAGTGACTAATTATTATCATTATTTTTATTGAGGCCCTTACCACAGTTCTCGCCTTGCACCCCTTTTTATTAATTTGTAAGGGTGGTTTCAAATGCATGCTCAAAGAAGCCAAGAGGAATCTAGACAGATGGGCCCTTGCTGGCTTACCCCACCCAATCTGTTAGCATTAAATCATACCCTTTTTGTCCAGTCATATTTCTATATAGCTGTCCATATTTTGTTGATCCCAAGGATGAAAAGGGACAATTTCCCCTATATCTTTGGGCCTTCATTCTAAAGGCTCCCATGTATACATGCTAAATAAATTTGTATATCTTTCGTCCTAATTAATCAATCTTGTCTCATGGCAGTGATTTTTCAGTGAAACTTCAGGGGGCCAGGGGCCTTGCTCTGTACTTTGTACTTTGAAGACTATTTTATTATTTGATAGTGTAATTGCTATACTACCTCATAATTAATTTTTCAAAAATTTTCTATTATCACCATTCTTCTTGAAATTACAAATCATCTTTTTTAAAAATTTTTAAATTTTTTTTAAGAGACAGAGTCTTTTTCTATTGCCTGGTTGTAATGCAGTGACATAATCACAGCTCACTTTTGTAGAAACAATGTCTTGCTGTGTTGCCCAGGCTAGTCCTGAACTCCTGGCCTCAAGTGATCCTCCAGCCTCACTCTTCCAAAGTGCTAGAATTACAGGCATGGGCCACCACACCTGGCTACAAATCATTTTATTAAGTTACAAGAAAGGAATTATTTTAGGACTTTGATCAAAATACATTCTAGTTTAATACTTATTCAGTAATTGTTTCTTTCTCTTCTTTGGGAGATTTTGTTTTTAATTATATTTCCCCAATATTAGTTATATGAAATATATTTTAAAGATCTTTCTCTACTTTAAAAATCAGTAAAATTCCCACGAATCAGAATCCTCCCTCCCTATCTGATTTCATGAGGTTTTGCATAGCAGTTAGTGATAATAAGGATAGCAATGGATGGTAGAGGGTGGCAAAATATGCCACCCCCAAATAGGCTGCTTTGGTATAAGGATTATTTTGAGCTATAATCAATTACAAAAAAAGGTACAAGAAAGACACTCTGGCCTTTCCCTTTCTGAAAGCAGGAGATAAAACCCCCATCTGGAAGATGTCCTCCCTATACCAAAAGAACATTCTTCTTATCAATTTAAAGAAGTGAAAACCAAGAGAATTCTGTGCAAATTGACCTTGTTAAAATAATTATCTTCCTTTAGCCTCCCTACAGTTTGTTACTTTCCTCCAATTTACTGTGTTTGACGTAGTATAAAAGCATTTAAGTTTTGCCACTTTTTTGGATCTTTATTTCCTTATGAGAGTTCTCATGTTACATAAAATGTATATTAAATAAATTTATATGCTTTTTTCCTGTTAATCTGTTTTATGTCTGTTTAATTCTCAGGCCTAGCCAGAAAAACCTTGAGAGGATAGGGGTAAAATGTTGCCTTCCCTACAGTGGTTATCTGAAAAGTTTATCAGACTCTTTAGTTTCTGAAATTGGTAGCCAGAGGTGTTTAATTTTCTGTAAACATACACATTGTATATCATTTAAAAAATGTGATGCTAATCAGGTTCTTTTCTAATATGGTAACTGACTATCAAGATAAATTTAGTTCAAATAAAGGTATATTTCCTTGCATTCTCACATTCTTTCACACTACACAACAAATCTAGCAGCAAATTTTGTTAGTCACACTAGCAAAATATATCCTATACCAAAGCATTATCTATTTAAGTATAAAATTTATTAAATTAATAAATTAATTTAAATTGGAAGACATTTAAAGACAGAACTATTGAATAATGAATAAAATCATACTTCGAGTTACACATATTCTAAAAATCCTATCAAAAGTCATATTTTACTATTTTGGGGGGGAATTTGAGTGCCTATCTTTGCTAGACATTGTTGTCAGCACATTTTTATTCCAAAAAAAATAATATTTATATAAGGACTGGAAGTAGTTATAAGTACAAGAAATAGAAACAGTAAGGGTGTGAATGTTTATATGTGATGTCAATAAACTAAGAGCTAAAAAAATTCCAGATAGGAATAAGAGGTTTCAGGGAAAACTTATAATTAAGCTGAAAAGGAATGGAGTAGGTCTACCAAATTTTTAGAGCAAGAGTTTTTAACCAGAGGTCCATACATAATGTCACAATGTGCCTAAGGATAAATTCAGCAGTTTGGTGGTCGTGGGATGAGGGAGAAGTCTGTGAGTTTGTGTAGTAAAATATATATATTTTAATTAACCTTTGATTAAACTTTAGCATTTCACTTTATTATCAACTTAGGCTACAAACTTCAGTAATTGTTACTCAAAAGAAATTTCAGTTGTCTCATTTCTCATTACAAATGCTGATTATCTTGAAGTATTTATATTTACTAATTACTAATGGAAGTTATTAGGCTCGCCAAATTATGTAATATGTTAACTAATAGAGTGATGAAATCGCACTTATTTAAAAAAAATTTTTTTTTTTGCATTTTATACACTTAAAACATTGTTCTGAGATTTTCCTTAAATGTCACCAGAAAGCCAAAGGTGTTCACAACATACAAGACAAAAAGCTAAGAACGCCGTTTTTTGTCGTTGTTTTTGTTTTATTGAGATTACATCAGAGTTCAGTGAGCAGAGGTAGGAGGCGAGATTCTGCAACCTATGCAAGGAAAACAATGGGCATGGGTAGTCCTTATTTGCTTATACCACCACCAAAAGTTATTTGCAATGTCACATTAAATAACCCTCCTTCACCGATAACTGTCAACCTTGCTAGGTCTCAGTTTCTGTCAGGAGCCCCCAACACCTTTGAGTTTTTTCAATATTCATAGACAGCCCTTTGTCAAACCACGTCATAATCCTCTATTATTTTTCTTTCCCGACACAAACTTGTGTGATTAGCAATAGTTAACGGAAAACATTTCCTCAAACTTTTTGATTGGTTTTAAGGTTTTAGAAATAACCATCCTGTCAAGTTCTGAGGCCACTGTACTTGAGATTTTAAGCGTTTTCCAAATATGAGCTCTAGATGATATCATATCTCCAGATGTCATCCTAATATTTTACTCACTTCAATTTAACGGCATATTTTGCAACATAGGGCTGGCTGGGCAAGGCTATGCTTCATAGCGTTTATCTGTCAGGAAAAATGTGTGTGGCTCTGGCAGTTTGGGACTATCGTGCTACAAAACTCGGTAGGCCTCGCACACCTCCTGCGCCGGCGCCACAGCCAAGCTCTCAAGCTCTTGAGCAACAGCACCTCGAGAATCAGTTCTGTGGACTTACGGTAGCGGCAGATCTCACAGAGCCACCATGTCCCAGGTCAGTAGTGGCGGGGCTTCCTCATGCCGCCCGTGGTCTGCAAGGATCCGTCTGCTAAAGCCAGGGCAGTTAATTTTGTACCAAACTGTTACAGGAACTGATGGAGCAGATGGCTGCCTGTGGACACATACTAATTAAACTTAAAAGTATATAGCGGCTTGGTAAGTCTGCTCACAATAATTCTTAAAATGTGCTAAGATCTTGCCAACTATTCTAAAGTTTCATCTTTGTAAATATGGGGTGTTCGCTGCCGTTTTGCTTTCAACAAAGGTCGTCAGGTTAACTGTGACTACGTTTTTTCTGTGCTTCACATTTTTTAGTCACTGGAGAATAAATGTTAAGTTCTTTTTCAAGAAGATATGGGTGGCCCTGAAAAGAGCCTTGGGTTTGGACTCGACTTTACTCGAGTTAATGCAAACTAATCCAAGTCGTTACTTGCCCTTGGCTTTGTGGTGACTCTCAGTCTTCTTGGGCAGCAGCACGGCCTGGATGTTGGGAAGGACGCCACCTTGCGCAATAGTGACTTTGCCCAGCAGCTTGTTAAGCTCCTCATCATTGCGGATGGCCAGCTGTAAGTGGCGAGGAATAATGCGGGTCTTCTTGTTGTCGCGAGCCGCGTTGCCCGCCAGCTCCAGAATCTCGGCAGTCAAATACTCCAGCACTGCCGCCAGGTACACCGGGGCTCCGGCTCCGACCCGCTCGGCATAGTTGCCTTTGCGGAGCAGACGATGTACGCGACCCACGGGGAACTGAAGACCCGCCCGAGAAGAGCGAGTCTTAGCCTTGGCGCGAGCTTTACCGCCCTGCTTGCCGCGTCCCGACATATTGATCTGGGTAAGCTCCCTATCAACAGCAAATAAAATGAAGGCGTAACGGCGGCGCATTTTATAACCATATTGGGCGCGAAAAAGAAGACGTGTCATAGGCTAAGAGTGCAGCTTCATTTAACCAATGGAGATGCGACTTCAGGATTTGCGGATCCTGATTGGGCAAAACTAGTCTTGTCGTTGCTGAATAACCACCAATCAGACATAAGACTTTAACTCCTCCTTATTTGCATAAGACATTCTATATAAAGAGGACACAGTGTATTTTGCTCATATTTGGTCTTTGCTTTTTTTCCGGAGTGCGTTAGTTTCGGTAATGCCTGAGCCAGCGAAGTCCGCTCCTGCGCCTAAGAAGGGCTCTAAAAAGGCTGTGACCAAAGCCCAGAAAAAAGATGGTAAAAAGCGTAAGCGTAGCCGTAAAGAGAGCTATTCCATCTACGTCTACAAGGTACTAAAGCAGGTTCACCCGGACACCGGTATCTCGTCTAAGGCTATGGGCATTATGAACTCGTTTGTCAACGACATCTTTGAGCGTATCGCGGGCGAGGCCTCTCGCCTGGCGCATTACAACAGGCGCTCGACCATCACCTCAAGAGAGATCCAGACGGCCGTGCGTCTGCTGCTTCCAGGGGAGCTGGCCAAGCACGCTGTGTCTGAGGGCACCAAGGCTGTCACCAAGTATACTAGCGCTAAGTAAACAGTGAGTTGGTTATAAACTCTCAACCCTAACGGCTCTTTTAAGAGCCACCTATATCTTCAAAGAGAGAGCTTGATGCTTGTGTTTACCTGCTTGCCACAATTTACTACGAAGCTTTTTATTCTGAAGTAAGATAATTGGGTAATCTATTAGGTCTTCCCTGCCAAGGTAAACTCTGAAGACTTACTAACCACTAAAAGTTAAGTTATCCTCTGGGATTCAGTAGAATAGCTTTAGCCCTGAGTTTCTCTTTATTTTTAAGAACTCTACTTAAAAGTCGTCTGCCACCAGTTCTTATGACCGTTAGTGTAAGTAATGAGTTGGAAGAGAAACAAGATCTGAGCAAGTTAAAGTATTCCAGTCACCTGTTAGATAATGCATTGGACTTAGTGCCGGTTGCAGAGGTTGCGCGGGCAGTTTGAATTTGCTCGGGCACTGCCTGCCCTTGCTGTCAGCATCCCGATTGGCTGGCGGTGTCCAAGAAGCAAGGACGGTTCGCGTGCGCAACTAGAATCCAGGCCTAGCTACTGTGCAAACCCGGTACACAAACCGACAGTTCAAATTTTCGTTGGCTCGTAAAGTATTCAAAGGGTGCAGTTTTCGTTCGGGGAGATCAATGCTTTTTTTAAAATTAGGATGCTGTTTTCTCTTTAGCTTATATCCGTATAATTGAAAGTTTACAAGACTTAAGCTGGACTATTTAAGGATGTAATGAAGGCAGAAAACTTGAGGGCATTTATCAAAATCGGTTTCAATTTTAAAGCTCCTTTTGCTCTTATTGTAAATACTGTTTTTGACTTTTCCTGGAACCAGTGAGGAAATACAAGTCCGAGTCATTCAGGTTGCCATAAATGAGTACCAGTCACCCAACAAATGACAATGTTTCTTTAGGTTATGACTATACAAAATTATGTGTCTCTTTGCGATAAAAATGCAAGGTTTATAAAGTAGTTGGAAGCTTCCACCATGATTGGTTTTTGTTTGAAAGGTAGTAATTCTACATAAACTTTAACTTATCTAGAATGGATCTAAATTTAACACAATAATGTCTAAAACAATTAGTATTTTGTTAAGTCCATTGTCAAATATGCTGTTCTCCATCCTTGACTCAAGTCTTACCCATATTTCAAAGCCCATTTACGTTTACCTGCTCTCTGAAATTTCTTTCCCTTTTTGAGCTTTTTCTCTTAACATTTGTCTAGCCTTTGGAAACTCCATAAAGTTTCTTGTATATATCATAGTTGAATTGCATATGTATACATACAGTTGAATTGCTCTCTACCTGGTTTGTTGTATGTATTTCTGTGTAAAGAATGTACACTCATGACATCAAAAGAGGAAAAGGCAAAAATAAATAAAGCAAATTCTTTTCCTTTGCCATCATCATTCCACACTAACAACTGAGTCCTGTGAGTAAACAGAACTTAAATGATTTTTATGTCATGACTTGTTATGTCACATGAGCCTCTGATCCTCTATTAATCCAAATAATCAGATGATAATTTCCAAGCTAAATATTTATTCATTGTTGGTTCTCTGTCTTATATGATATAGTAATCAGAATAAAGAGCAGAATTTGTGGGAAAAGGAGAAGGGATTGGGACAGAAGATGACTCATGGGCAATATTGTCTAGCCACAGGTGAAAATTTGCAAAGACTAAACTTTTTAAAACTATACAGAATTAAGTTGAAAAGGACCCAACTAATTCTATAACTCAAAACTAGATTGCCTGAGGGATAAATAAATTGAACAGTCATCTTTTGGGTTATTTGCATCTTGGTAAAGTTCCCTTAGGAATAAGGATGAGAGTTTAATTCTTTGCTTAAAAAACTAAATGCTGCCAATTAACCCATTGCTAATCAGTTACAGAAGAATTGGTTCAAAACTAAACAATCACAGTTTGCTATTTAAAAAAATGTACATTGTACATATATCTTCTCACAAAATAGATACTTGTTGCTTAAAATGCTTGTAACTGATTGGCAGGGCTTCCCCAGAGATTACAAACAACCATGAAGACTGGAGCATAGCCTTAGATGAAATAAAACTAGCTGTTTTCAAAGGATTTTTTTTTGCAAGCCATATCAAATGATTATATTTACTTTTTCTACTGTGCACATATTTCTTTTTAAGCTAATCTACAATGGCTATTGAAATCAAGGTGCCCATTCCCCTGGGCAGATAGAGATACAGCCACAAAGGTTAGTGGTCCTATATCCTGATATCATGTAGATATCTATTCTTCAATTAAAGCATTGTGTTTGTATGTTAAAGTTAGTTTTCTAATATAAATTTTTCTTAACTTTATTTTCAATTTTTGATGACAAATGGAAAACATCCAATTAGAAATACTATACTTACAAACTATCCATTGATTCAAATGACCTTATTTCATGCTTTACTTTTGGAGTATCTCTTTTCCTGATATTGTCCCAAATGTTGAATATGCAACCCTGTTTAGAGTCCACATTACATAAAGGCATTATTTGCATTCTACACATGAAAAGTAGAGTAGAAGTTTTGAATTTTATTTAAAAAAATAGGAGGCCAGGCATGGTGGCTCACACCTGTAATCCTAGCACTCCAGGAGGCCGAGGTGAGTGGATCATTTGAGCTCAGGAGTTCAAGACTAGCCTGAGCAAAAGCGAGACCCCACTTCTACTAAAAAAAAGAAAAGAAAAAAAAAGAAAAAAAAAAAGAAAGAAATTTGCTGGAGAACTATATATATACATAAAAATTAGCTGGGCATGGTGGCGCATGCCTGTAGTCCCAGCTACTGGGGAGGCTGAGGCAGTAGGGTAGCTTGAGTCCAGGAGTTTGAGGTTGCTGTGAGCTAGACTGACGCCATGGCACTCTAGCCCAGGCAACAGAGTGAGACTCTGTCTCAAAAAAAAAAAAAAAAAAATAGGGATTCCTGCAGAACTTTTTTATTAGTATTTGTCTTTGCAAATGTATCTGTATTCATTTACTAAGGAAACTGCACTAGGCACTTCACATTGGGAAACCAGATGAATGTGTGTGCTTCCCACTATTACTTGCATAACTATCACATCTACAAAACTAGATACGACAGAATCCTGCTGCTCCCAGAAATTTTCGAAGTTGTTTCTGATTTTTGGGTCTCGGAATGGCACAGATTGTGTGTTTCTGTTCATGTCCTAATGCTCTCCGTCCCCGAGAGATGTGGAAGCCTATGTACCTGACTCTTTCTCTGGAGGACGCTCCAGGGTTCGGAAGCGACCAAGAAGGCTTGGTCGCCTCCCATTGTTTGCTCGCAGACAGCTGCGGGATTGGTCAAAAATACTACTAGGATAGGATATCGTCCTTCATCTGTGCTTTTCTGTAGGGCTCGGTGGCTTCGGTGTCTGTCTGCTTCTTGTGCCGTCGTCCTTTTCTGTTTAATTCTTATCCTCACTTATCCAGGAAACATGGGGCAGGGAAGGAGTACTCCTCTCTCCCTCACCCTAGCACATTGGAAGGACATTCGGAGCCGAGGCTTCGACCTCTCAGTCAACGTCAAAAAGGGCCCATGGGGAACTTTTTGCTCGTCCGAGTGGCCCACCTTTGGTGTCGGGTGGCCATCGGACGGAACCTTTAACCTCTCCATTATATTTGCAGTAAAAAAGAAGGTCTTCCAGCCGAAGGGCCACCCGGATCAACAGCCCTACATCATTGTCTGGCAAGACCTCGTCCAGAACCCCCCTCCATGGGTCAAGCCCTGGGTGTCCCGTCCATCTCTTACCCTTGTTGCTCAGGCGGCGCCTGTAGACCCGACCAAGCGCCCCCTGAGTGATCCTCAGGCTGACCTTCTCCTCTTTGATTCTCCTCCACCCTATCCTCCTCCCTTACAGGCCAATCCGCTGCAACCAGGGTCCGTTGAGCCATCGGCCCCTCCAATGGAGGGGCCAGCTCAAGGCACCCAGAGCAGGAGGGGGCTTCCCCCGTCTCCAGACTCCACTGTTGCTTGTCCTCTTCGCCCTGTGCCGGTCCCCCACCCCGTCCCGGGGAGTGACGATGACACAGCCCCCCTCCAACTTCTCCAATATTGGCCCTTCTCCTCAGCTGATCTTTATAATTGGAAGACCAATCACCCCCCTTTCTCTGAAGACCCCCAGCGTCTGACTGGGCTGGTCGAGTCCCTGATGTTCTCTCACCAGCCCACTTGGGATGACTGTCAGCAATTGCTCCAGACTCTCTTTACTACTGAAGAGAGGGAGCGGATCCTCCTGGAGGCGCGCAAAAACGTCCCCGGGCCCGATGGACGCCCGACCCAGCTTCCGCACCTGATGGATGCCGCTTTCCCTTTGACCCGAACAAATTGGGACTTCAACATGGCAGAAGGTAGGGAGCAACTGACAGTCTACCGCCAGACTCTAGTGGCAGGCCTCAGAGGGGCAGCACAACGCCCCACCAATTTGGCTAAGGTAAGAGAAATCCTTCAAGGGCCAACTGAACCCCCTTCTGTCTTCCTCGAGCGATTGATGGAAGCATTCAGGCGGTACACCCCTTTTGATCCCACTTCAGAGGGACAAAGGGCCTCAGTGGCTATGGCCTTCATAGGCCAATCAGCCCTAGACATTAAAAAGAAACTCCAGAGGTTGGAGGGATTACAGGATTTCACCCTTCAGGATTTAGTTAAAGAAGCAGAGAAAGTATACCACAAAAGGGAGACAGAGGAGGAGAAAGAGCAAAGAAAAGAAAGGGAAAGGGAGGCAAGAGAAGATAAAAGAGAAAAAAGACAGGAGAAGAGGCTAACACGTATCCTGGCCGCAGCTGTAGGTGAGAATAGACCGCAGCAAAAAGGGAAGGGTAAAAAGACAGACAACCCGGGCAACAAGCCACCGTTAGGGCCAAACCAATGTGCCTATTGTAAAGAAGACGGACATTGGAAAAAGGACTGTCCCAAATTACAAAATAAAGTGCTGGCCCTCCATGAAGATAGTGAATGAAGCAGTCGGGACTCGGACCCCCTCCCCGAGCCCAGGGTAACTCTTCAAGTGGAGGGGGAGCCTGTCAGCTTTCTAGTTGACACAGGGGCTCAGTTCTCGGTCCTGAAAAAGCCGTTAGGACCGATCTCCAAAAAGACCTCTTGGGTAATAGGAGCCACAGGCCATGAGCAGTACCCATGGACCACCACTCGGACTGTGGACCTAGGGACAGGAAAGGTAACTCATTCTTTCTTAATAATACCTGAGTGTCCTGCTCCCCTCCTGGGAAGAGATTTATTGACTAAAATGGGAGCCCAGATCACCTTCACTCCTGGAGGGGCAACTCTCACCCAACATAGGGGGCAAACCACCCTCCTAACCCTCCAATTGGAAGATGAACACCGGCTGTTCAAAGCCAGTGCTAAAGGGAAAAGGGGAATAGATGACAAGTGGCTGCGACTGTACCCTGAAGCCTGGGCTGAGACTGCGGGAATGGGCCTGGCCATTGGACAACCCCCTGTAGTAGTAGAACTTAAGTCCTCAGCAACCCCAGTTGCTGTACGGCAGTACCCCATGGCAAGGGAGGCCTGGGAAGGGATTAAGCCTCATATTCACCGCCTTCTACAACTGGGGGTCCTGGTCAAATGCCACTCTCCTTGGAATACCCCGCTCCTCCCTGTCAGGAAGCCGGGTACAAATGATTACCGACCCGTACAAGATCTTAGAGAAGTTAACAAAAGGGTCCAGGACATCCACCCTACGGTTCCCAACCCTTACAACCTACTAAGCTCTATTCCTCCATCCCATGTTTGGTACTCGGTCTTGGACTTAAAAGATGCCTTTTTCTGCTTACGATTGCACCCAGCCAGCCAAAAACTCTTTGCTTTCGAGTGGAGAGACCCAGACTCGGGGACCACGGGACAACTGACCTGGACCCGGCTCCCCCAGGGGTTCAAAAACTCCCCCACTATCTTCGATGAGGCCCTCCATCAAGATCTAGCTGCCTTCCGGACTGAGCACCCACAGATTACTCTCCTCCAGTATGTGGACGATCTCCTCCTTGCCGGAGCTACGGAAGGAGACTGCAGAACAGGTACCCGGGACCTACTTGTAGAGCTCTCCCGCCTAGGGTATCGGGCGTCAGCCAAAAAGGCACAACTATGTCAGCAGAAAGTGACATACTTGGGATATGCTCTTGAAGGGGGGCAGAGGTGGCTCACTGAAGCCCGCAAGAACACGGTCACCCAGATTCCGAGACCCCGCTCCCCTCGTCAAGTACGAGAGTTCCTGGGGACCGCTGGTTTCTGCCGTCTGTGGATTCCCGGTTTTGCAACGTTAGCGGAACCTCTATACCCACTAACAAAACAGGGAAACTCTTTTGAGTGGGGAGAGACTCAGCAAAAGGCATTTGATGACATTAAAAGAGCCCTCCTCTCCGCTCCAGCCTTGGCCTTACCGGATGTGTCCAAGCCCTTCACCCTCTTTGTGGACGAAAGAAAGGGGGTTGCTCGGGGGGTCTTGACCCAAACCCTGGGGCCTTGGAGGAGACCGGTAGCCTACCTATCCAAAAGATTGGACACGGTAGCTAGAGGATGGCCGGCTTGCTTGAGGGCTATAGCAGCCACCGCCCTACTCATAAAGGATGCAGACAAGCTTACCTTGGGACAAAAACTAACGGTGATAGCCCCACACACACTGGAAAGCATCATCCGGCAGCCCCCTGAGCGGTGGATGTCAAACGCCCGAGTGACCCATTACCAGAGCCTTTTGCTAAATGGTGATCGAGTCTTCTTCGGGACACCGGTGACTCTGAATCCGGCAACCCTGCTGCCAGAGGTGGACCCAGAGGGCAGGGAGATCCTTCACTCCTGCCATGACATCCTGGCGGAAGAAACAGGACCAAGGAGAGACCTCCGGGATGCGCCACTGCCTGACCCACACTACACCTGGTTCACCGATGGGAGTAGTTACATCCACGAAGGTAAAAGGGTCGCGGGGGCGGCGGTAGTTAGCAAGGACCGAGTTATATGGGCTAGTAGTCTGCCTGAAGGAACTTCCGCTCAGAGAGCTGAACTGATCGCTCTGACGCAGGCCCTCAGATTAGCAGAAGGCAAAAAGGCTAATATCTACACGGACAGCCGCTATGCTTTTGCTACAGCCCATGTTCATGGGGCTATCTACCGCCAGAGGGGTCTGCTTACTTCTGCCGGAAAGGAAATTAAAAATAAGCAGGAGATCTTACATCTCCTCGAGGCTGTTCACGCTCCCCAGGAAGTAGCCATTATCCATTGCCCTGGTCACCAGAAGGGAACCTCCGAGATAGCCCAGGGTAACAGAAAAGCAGACTTGGAGGCGAAGCAGGCCGCCCTGAAATCGGGAACCCTGGTTCTCGCTGCCAGCCCCTCGGTAGCCCCGCCGGAACCCCTCCACTACTCCTCAGAGGAAGAGGAGAGCCTATCAAAAAGGCCTGAGAGGTACTCCAAGGACAAACAAGGAATCTGGAAAACCACAGAGGGAAAAACTGTCATGCCCAAAGAAGCAGCTAAAGCATACCTAAAACAGTTACATCGCCTTACTCATTTGGGAGCGAAACACCTACGCTCCACCTGCCAGGCAACAGGATATCATATTAGAGGGCTCAACCATCTGTCAGAGGAGATAGCCCATCAGTGCAGAGCATGCCAGCTGGTAAATTCTCACCCGTCCCAGGTCAGTCCCGGGCAACGGCTCAGGGGCAATCGCCCCGGGAGTAATTGGGAAGTAGACTTTACGGAAGTAAAGCCGGCCCGGTACGGATATAAATACCTCTTAGTTTTCATAGACACCTTTTCAGGATGGGTAGAAGCTTTCCCTACCAAAAAAGAAACGGCAACTGTGGTAGCCAAGAAGATCTTGGAAGACATCTTTCCTCGGTTCGGAGTTCCAAAGGTAATAGGATCTGATAACGGTCCAGCCTTTGTTGCCCAGGTGAGTCAGGGGATGGCCAGGATACTAGGGGCGGATTGGAAATTACATTGTGCTTACAGGCCCCAAAGTTCAGGTCAGGTAGAAAGGATGAATAGAACATTAAAAGAGGCTATGACTAAATTATCCTTAGAGACTGGTGTGGCAGACTGGACAGTCCTCCTTCCCTTTGCCCTCTTCTGCGTTCAGAACACCCCCGGCCCTCCAGGGGTAACTCCGTTTGAGATTTTGTTTGGGGCCCCTCCACCCCTCATGGCCGATCCGTGGTCTATGCCAACAAATACTCACACCCCTCAATCCCTACTTGCTAGGTTAAAGGCTCTTGAGACTGTTCACAGGGAGGTCTGGACCCCCTTGGCCTCTCTCTACCAGCCCGGAGAACTGCAGGTGCCGCATCCGTTCCAAGTTGGAGATTTCGTCTACATCAGACGGCACCGAGCTGCCAATCTCGAGCCAAGGTGGAAGGGACCCCACCTAGTGCTACTAACAACTCCGACAGCCATCAAGGTAGACGGCATTGCAGCCTGGATCCACGCCTCTCACGCCAAACGAGCAGCTCCCCTGGACAACAATGGTGAATGGACTGTGGAAAAAACAGACAACCCCCTCAAGCTTCGGATTCACCATCGTCTTCCTCGTGATGAACTTGCCGCTGATAAGTAGCACCCCCCATGTACCCAAAAAGCTAACCTGGAGGGTAACTTCTCCCCACACGGGACAAATAGTCTGGTCTACCACCAACATAGCCCCCCTGGGAACATGGTGGCCATCATTAACACCAGATATCTGTGCTATGGCTGCCGGGTGGAGATTATGGGATGTCCCCTACAAGACAGCAGAAGAGACCAGACAGCAGTTAGAATCTAGAGATTATATAGGCAATGCATGGGACCTGAGGGTTGGAGTCCACTGTAGTTATTCAGGAGCCCGTGAACGCTTATCCAGAACCCCTTTTTATGTCTGCCCTAAGGAAAGACTGGGTCACAGGAAAAATTGCGGGTGGGAACGTGATTATTACTTTGCTGCCTGGGGATGTGAGACAACGGGAACCGCTTACTGGATAAACAAACCCCCTTCCTGGGACCTCATCCAGGTGCAAAGGAACAAAACATCTTTTGGCCCTCTAGGCTGGAAGAACATCCTAAACATTACCTTTACCCCGGCAGGACGATCACATAACATAAACAGACGGCAATGGGGGATAACTTGGGGATTCAGATTATACAAAGAGCAGCACGATGATGGGTTCCTTTTCAAAATAATCCTAGATGTAGACAGTTATAACCCACCTGTCCCCATAGGACCGAACCCTGTTTTGTCGGATCAGCAACCCCCCTTGCGGCTCCCCACAGCCACTTCCACAGCAGATCCCCATACAGGCTCTACCCATTCAAACTCCAGTATGGGTCAAAGGTTATTAGGGCTAGTCCAGGGGGCTTTTAGCTCCCTAAATGTGTCCGATTGCACCCTGACCGAATCTTGTTGGCTTTGTCTGACAGTGGGACCACCCTATTATGAAGGAGTTGCCTTTTTCGGAAATTACAGTAATACTACCAGCCCTACCGGCTGCACTTGGGGAAGACAAGGGAAGTTGACCCTAACTGAAGTCTCAGGTCAGGGCACTTGCATAGGAAATGTCCCTAAGGACCGTCAGAGGCTCTGCAACGAGACTATGGAATCCCCCTTTAGTGGTAATTATTACCTGGTTCCCCCCCGGGGAGGGTGGTGGGCCTGTAATACAGGACTCACCCCATGTTTGGCGGCAAAGGCCTTCAACGAGACTTCAGAATACTGTGCCCCACGAGGAAGAAGGGAACTAGTTTCTCTTACCCTAGCCACTCTCCTAGGACTAGGGGTGGCGGCCGGGGTAGGGACAGGGACAGCAGCTCTCATTCAAGGACCCTCCTATACTGAAGAGCTCCGAATAGCCATAGATGAGGACCTTAAAAGCATAGAGCAGTCCATCACAAAGCTTGAGGAGTCCTTAACCTCTCTATCTGAGGTGGTTCTGCAAAACAGGCGAGGACTAGACCTCCTATTCTTAAAGGAGGGAGGCCTTTGTGCGGCTCTTAAGGAACAGTGTTGTTTTTATGCAGATCACTCTGGAGTGATAAAGGATTCTATGTCCAAACTTAGAGAGAGACTAGAAACCCGAAAGAAAGAGCATGAATCCAAGCAAGGATGGTTTGAAGGATGGTTTAATGCCTCCCCCTGGTTAACAACCCTGATATCCACTTTACTAGGACCCCTGATTATCCTCCTCTTACTTCTGACTTTTGGGCCCTGCATACTAAACCGCCTAGTGACTTTCGTTCGTGACAGAATTAGTGCTGTCCAATTAATGGTCCTTCAACAACGTTACCAACCCCTCCCTGCGGATGAGGACCTCTAGTTTCAGGATTAAAACTACTCAACAGAAAAAGGGGGGAATGTAAGGTTATAGCAGAATCCGCCCCCCCCCCCCGTGTGTTCTTGCTTAAACTTGCCTGCGAGTTTCCATTACAGCTCTTGGAATTACCCCACCCCAGACTTCCTGGAGTCGTTTATACAAGATTCAGCTCTTGGAAATACCCCACCCTAAGCTTCCTCTTACCCCAGCCACCTGAGTGTGGTTTTTGCCTTTATAAACCCCAGCTTTGTAATTGTCGGGGGCTGCAGCTAGCCATTTTTGGTGACGCTGTGAGCCCCTGTGCCGCGCTTGTAATAAAACCTCTTGATTTTTGCATCAAGTCCCGGTTTCTGGGTTTGATTTTGGGCGGTCGTCTCTCCTTTGGACCCACCGAGGGTACCGCTACAACCCTACAAAATCAATTATGGTCTACCCAAAATCAAAGTGACAGAAGTTAGCTACCCAAGTGGCTGACTTACAACAAGCAGTCATCTTACAGAGACCAGGTTGTAAATCCACAAAAGCAACTTAGACTCCATTGTGATTGGAATACCACTAAATTTTATGTTATATCTCATATATACAATCAAACTCGATTTCCTTGGGAAAACATTAAAAAACATCTGCTTAATCAAGAAAATCTGACTGAAGAGATTGGAAATTTGCAACAAGAGATATTAAGTACCTTCAGTCACCAACTTAATTTGCTCTCTAAGGCTGACGTTATTAATGGCATCTCACCTGGTTTAAAGTCAGCTGATCCATTTTCTCCTTTTAAAACCTATGGGAGTTTCACTATAGTAACTTTTGGTATTATTTTAATCATTTGCTTGTGCTTATTTATAGTCTAGAGAAAACTCCGAGGAAGACAAGAATCCGGGGACCAATGCCTCGCCGTGATGGCTGTGCAACTCCATCAACTTATTTCTAAAAAAAGAAAGGGGGAGATGTTGCTCCATGAATTAGTGTTAAACGTGTTTTGGGACAGGATCTGTCTTAGGAGTTTTTACAGAGCTTTGCCCTGAAGGCATAGGTGAATGTGCTGGTTTGCATTTCGAATGCTGTTACACTGGAAGGGCGTCTCTGAAAGGCAGTTGCGGCTGTATCCCACGAGGCGCCACGTTTCTCAGACCTAAAGAATTGGATTTGCTTTGTAAAGCACAAGCGAATCTGTTAAAAACTATAGGCTTAGAGCTGACAATGGAGTGCCCTCCGGAACAAACAGCTTCCCAGAAACGACAGCTTCCCAAATGGCCAAAAGCAAAGCTTTTGTTTAAACCACTCTAGACTACCTGTCTCCATTCACAATAACCTAATAAACATGGAGCTTGCATATCTCTGTTTAACCCCTCTGTTTAAATGATAAACTTACCTTAGAATTTAGAAATTAACCTTTGAAAGACTTTGTAACCGTTTGCCCACGTAAATAGAATTAGTTAAAGAATCTGTAGAAGCCTTCTGTAAAAGCCTTTTGAAAATCTGTTAACCTGAGAGGAACTACCTGTTGTTATGTAAATCTGTTACCCCTGACAATTGTTCACTATTTCCTATAAGTTACCATGTAAGACCTCATTCGGGGCTTTTTGAGACCAACGGAGAGGTCCGAGCCCCCTGAGCTCCCGCTTTGCCTATAATCTTTATAAACTTATAAAACTATATCTTTGTCTCAGTGTATTCTTTTATTTCTTCCATTTTCCATTTCTCTCTATTATTTTCTTATCCCTTGCAACTCTACCAAAGGGACCCGGTTTTTTGCGGGGAACACTGGCCACGTTCCCCGCAGATGGTGATGGGGAAAGTAATTTTTACTATATTATATTGGGCCACAACAGGATGTTTCTTCTACCTTTGGCAATCACTCTAACCCTTTTAGGCTTATCTACCAAGGCACACCCATCATGCTCATGCATGACAAAGAAATCCTGCATATGGATGCCCCCAGGCCTCAGGTACTGCCACCAGGCTGGATTTGTCTTTAACACCCTATGCCAAACAGTCGCTATAGTTCAGCCACCCAATGTTCCTATGGGGGAGAGGTGTATTGGACCGGAATTATTACCGGAGACCAAAACACATGTCACTCCCCATACAGAAAGCTGGCGTGTTGGTCATATTACACCCATGTAGGAATGTCAGATGGAGGGGGGGGTCCAAGACCAGGGAGCAGATAAGTGCAACGAACGAGTTAAGGCAGAACTCATCAGAATAGGCTCAGCAGCAGCAGCACCATACAAGTGCCCTGGTCTCAGTGGTGTACGAAAACTTACAAACCCTATTGAAACATCCCCACTAATTGCTAAGTTCTTAAATGTAACCCTTCAGGCCCTACCCAACCGTACCTCCTGCTGAGTCTGTCTCCCACTCCAAAAACGGGTTTATGTTGGAATCCCTGTACCCCCAGAGTGGAATCGGACGGATAGCATACTGGGAACAGACACTAACTGGACAGCTCTCCAAGGGCCAGTGGCCAACAATGTCAGACTAGCTATAGCCCAAAATCAGAATATTACATGTTACAGCCAAATACAAGGTAATGTCACAGTGGGAGAGATGCCTGGGGAAATTTGCACACAAGACATAACCTGTGTCCCTAGAGGAATCTTCTTCCTCTGTGGAAACCAAGCTTACTCCTGCCTCCCAGGCAACTGGACAGGAAGAGGTACACAAATCTTCCTCACACCAGGCCTATCTGTTTTCAGCAACGAGGAGCTAGAAGTAGCCTGGAGCCCTCATCCAAAAATTCGACAATTGAGCCCTCCTAGCCAGCCTCCTGATAGGAGGGAGAATAGCTGCCGGAATAGAAACCGGAGTGGGCGGTTTAGGAACATCATTAAACATTTACTACAAACTATCTAAAGAACTAAATGAAGACATGGAATGAGTAGCTGATTCCCTTCTATCCCTTAAAGCCCAAAGAAACTCACTAGCTGCGGTAACCTTACAAAACCACGGGGCTCGGGACCTCCTTACTTCAGAAAAGGGGGGAACTTGCTTTTTCGTGGGATGTTAGAGCCGGTTCCCCTCGGCCCCAGGAACAGAGAGGCAGAGTCACCGAGGCTGCAAATGGCAAAGGAGTTTATTGGCTAGCTCGAGCTAGGGTCCAAGTCCCAGAGCACAAACGCAGTGACCTCCCTATGAACCAGGACCCTGCCCTGGGGTAAAAGTGAAGCTTTTATACTTTCTTTTGCACACGACACACCGGTGGCACACGACACGCAGGTTCCACACGACACGCTGGGCACACCATCCCTCCTCCCCCCTTAGTCCATTGGTT